TTTTTTGTTTTAAATCAGGCCATAAAACTGAAACAAATACACGCAAGTGTTAGGAGCTCAGAACCAGACGATGTAGATAGAACCGTGGAGGAGTCATCTTCCTGCACACGGCTAACTTCCTGTCCTGTAAACCAATAATGGGATAGACGGCTTCAGGACAGCTATATAAAAGCGTTGTCACCTCAAAATGATGGTTAGCAAGGCATGCCTGTCCTTACTTGAACCGCCATCTTCTGCCCAGCTTAAGCATATGCAACTTCACAAAGTTTTTCCAGCCAGTCAAAAAAAAACCCCATTGTGTTTGATAAAAGAATTGTGAACCTTCCACTACACGCTGGTAGATCCTTTTGCACCCAATTCATGCCAGCGATTGTTTAGCATTTAAACTCTCGGCTTTGTATCGCCTCCCTAAAGCTGGCCATGCACATTTCACTGTGCAATCTCTTTTAGACTTATCGACTCAGTGTGTGCTCCTCTACATAAAACAATCCATCCAACTCCCATTGAACCAGGCAGACCCTTGCACATTTGTTAAAGTGTACATAAACCCAAAATCTATTACTCAGTACTTTTGGCATCACACCTCCCTGATTTGCAATAGGCTAAGGCAAAATGGACCATCTATCCCTGAACAGGGGGTGAGGGCCTTCAACACCCTCCGTCTTCCACATCTAACATCTCTGGACAATTTAGGTGACTAGAAGGATTAACACATGTGCAGACACCTAGGCTGGGATTATCTAAAGTCCGTGCGAGTTCCACAACTTTCATACAGTCCTTGGACAATCCACATCTGCCTGTTGGAGTATGCTCCTCACACTCAACAGAAGTGAAGTGGCTTGGATAGGCTATGGTCCATTTTCAACAATACAGAAAAAGTCTGGTTGAAGGTGACCAACCAGCTTCTATGTATCCTTTGCTGAAGCAAAATAGTTCTTTGAAAATCTGTTGCCAGTTTATAAACCGGAGATCCTGCCAGTATTAGCACCTCCTGTTGCAGAATTACAACAGACCACTGCAGCATTGTCAACCGGTCACGTGCACTCCTTCAGTTGATGGTTGGACTACCTATTAGGTCTAGCAGATAAAGCTGGCCATACATTGCTCTTTTTTTTTTATTCATCCCACAGGCTGAACGAAAAAAAAATAGAGCAGATTCTTCTTGCGCTGATCGAAGAATCCACGCTGTCAGAATACCCGACCAGGGCCAGCAGCTCGTTGGCTGCCCGCTCTGTTCATACGAAGATCTTCTGGACCGCCTCCTTCAATTAGTCGATTGAGGGATGCCGGCCAAGAAGGGTCCTGACAGCAGTACCCACGGTGCGAATTTTGTCCGGTTCCTCAAGAACCAGTCGAAATTCACAGTGTATGGCCACCATAAGACAACTGCCAACATAGCAACTGTGTTGTGCACTCCAATTGGGAGGCAGTGGCATAACACTGTCTGCCTGCAACAGGAAGTGTTGTGACTGGCAGGATCTCCAAGTAAAAACGTTGCAACCGCTTAATAAAAAAAGATTTGCTTACCAAAAACTGCATATAGTGACACAAGATGCCAAACACAGCGACAGATTTTGGGTTTACATACACTTTAATGACCCTAAAAGGAAATTGGACAGATTATAAACACCTGTGGCCCAGCACGAGCCAAAAATATTTCTCAGCACATCTAAATCTCTCGAACATCTATGGGAATTCCTGCATGCGTTTTTTGCAAATGGTATTGGATCTTTTACGTCAAACATTTTGAATTTTAGGCTTCGGATGGCTGTTTCGTCCAGCAGAGGTAAATGCACAGTGAATTGAGAAGCAAAACTTAAGATGCAGCTGCATTTCTTTTTTTTTTTAAGCTTCTTGGTTACAATTTTTGGAATATTTTTTTTTTTATATAAATGAAGAAGGGCGCTTGATTGTCCCGCGGGGAGCATTCGTACTTAGCTGCGTTTGAAAATATCCCGCCCCAGCATAAACAAGACAATACACCGCTGAAAGCTTGCCTCCCTTTCCGTGAAGGCTTATTTCATCTATAAGGTTAATGTGCAGAACGTTTATAATACATCTGGTTTGTAGATCCCAAGTAAATTATATCTGATACAAAATAATTTCGAGACGGCCAGTCGGTCAAATAAAACAGATTGCTACCGACGTAATAGGGCGATAATATTTGTTTTCAATTCACCTACTTAGATAAGAACCTACAAATTTTATAGCCTGCTAAAAAGTGTAAAAAGAATATTAAATAAAATGACAATGTTTTCCTAAAGTCACTTTTTTTTATTTGTTTAAATCGTAGGAACAATTTAAATAAATCTATAAAAAAATAAACCCTAAGGGGAGCGAGACTTGTGTAATATACCCCTGCAAAAAGGGAACATTCAGTTGTCAACCAGTGAAACCGAAAAGCTGAAAAATCAGATTGTTTTATTTAAACTGATGTGGCGGAGACATGCTGGAATTTGTATTTCTTGGGAGAGTAACGTGTAGCCCCGCAAAATGTTTCACCCCAGTGCTCCTCATACAACTCATTTCCCAATACGAGGGCTGCAGCGTTACCTTTTTTTTTTCACAACAGCAAAAATTGTCTGCTGGCTGCTAAAGTTAGCAATCATCAATGCAGCCATCGGTGTACAATTTAAAAAGGTCGATTTTGTTACAAAGCTTGTCCTGCTCAATAGTCGGTTACGATTTGCATTCTACAGCGATTGGCGGCTGAAATAAAAGTAGTAATAAAGAACAAGCTGCAGGACTGCGTGACACAAAAACAAGCACGGAAGCCAGTAGTTCTTTGTTGAAGCAGAGCTGGACAAATCCTAGGAAGCCAGACCGCCGGAACACCTACGGGTTTACAAATGGGGCCTTTTCGAGCCCCATGGGAGTCTTCCGTGGGCGTCAGTGGGAGGAAAAAAAAAAGCCTGTTATAGGGTGGTGCTTAGAACTCTATGGGAATTTGTCCACCCCCAGTTTAAAGGGTATTAAAAGATCACCCTCACCAGTAGCCACCACTAAATGCTTAAAAATTACCTTCCCAAATCGAAATTAGGTATATATCAGTTACAAATACCAATACATTTTTTTTTTTTTTGGTTTGTAAGAAATAAGCAGGGCAAGGTGACAAGACTTCAAACCGAAACCAATTCCAAAAAAAATAAAATCAAATTAAAATTTCTAATGTGTTAGCAAGAAACTAAAAGCCTGAAAAATAAAAGTTTGAGAATAAAAACACAGATGAAGTGAAAACGATAACTGGTACACACTGTCCACACCTATATTTCAAGTTCGGAAACGCATATTTTCAAGCAGCCATACAAAAAAAAAGTATCCATGAAGAATGCTGAATCTCTGGAAAAAATTATGAAAACGTCCCTGCTACCAGTACGTATCTAAATACAAAACTCAACTACCGTATGGTTGCTCCTGTGTAGCGAGAGAAGTCCATTTTTTTTTAAAACAGATAAAATTCAGTCCATAGGTGTGAATGGTATGATCGACAGTCTTTTTTTTTTTTTTTTTAAATTTTTTGTTGTTTAGGATCCTTAAGCATGCAAGCCTCGTAGAAAGGGGAGCCGCGAGGGCACCAGGGGTGGACATCAGCCATCCAGTTTACGACAGAGCTGGGAAAGCTTCAGGGTCGTCTACGTCGGGGACAGAGACGCTTGACTGGAGGAACAGAGAGAAATGATGGTTATACAGCAAAAGCACATTGCAGAGCATGCAAAAGACTTGTCAATACTCTGACTTGGCTACAAAATTCAGCACTAACATTGCCCATCAGGGCACAACTTACAAACTCAGCATTGGCAGCCCTAGATGTCACTGCTATCCTTAACAGCCGGGAGAGCAGCCCATCTAGTCTGGGGGGTGAAGGGAATGCAGGAAGGCCTAGACAGGTGGTGGTAATAGGGGATTCTATCATATGGAAGGCTAAATAGGATAGTATGTCACCCAGATCGCCTCAACCAAATGGTTTGCTGGTGCCAGGTTTCGGCATGTGGTGGACAAAACACTGGCGAGGGGCTGGGCATGACTCAGCTGACTTGGTTCATGATAGGACCAATGACAATGCATGGAAGATCCTTAAAAATCAATTTTAAGAACTAGGTTGCAAACCGAAGGGAAGGACCTCCAAGGTAATATTTTCTGGAATATAGCCTGTGCCATGCATAACACAGGACAGACCGCAGAACCACCTTTAGCATATAGGTACTACCCCAATAAAAAGTCAGCCCAGTGCTCTAGAAAACCAAAGCCTTCCCTCTTGCATTTCACTCTCTAAGGGCTAGTTTACACCAGCCCCAGTGCGTTCGAAGGGCCGTGAAGGTGCATTGAAGTCGATGGCACCGCAGCCACCCCCTCCAGCGGCAGTGCGAACGCCCACACGGGAACGCGTGACACATCAATAAGGGTTCATCAATAAGGGTTGAAGATCTCAAGGCTTGGCTGGTATATCATGTTAAAAAAAATTAAAAAATCCAGGCAGAAATGTTATTAACCCTTGCAGTAGGGCTACCCCACACACTGCAAGGGTTAACTGCTTGTTTTAAAACAAAGTTGTACTCAACCAATCCTCTGAACCGGCAGCGCTCCCTCCAGCCGGTCTCTTCCTCCTCTGCAGCAATGGTATGTCCTTCGGCGTCCTCATGTCCCACACACTGTATTGGACGTGATGACGAGGATTTCTAGACTGCTGCAGTGGAGGGGGAGAGACGCTCAAGGGACCGGTCTAAGAGCCGGCCCGCACGGAAACTCAGGCGGGTACTTAACCAAAAATGGGCACTTAACCCTTGCAGTGCCCAAAGTTCAACAATATATTTTATATAAAACTGCCCCTCAGTCTGTTCCTTAATTGCACGCTATTCCAAATAGAAGCTCCCTCCTATAGAGTCCTGTATAATCCCCTCCAAACAACTAGAAAGGCAAGATTTTTTATTTACAAGTATGCTGTGTGAATGGGAACCCAAACATAGCTGGAATTTCTCAAAATTTGACTGCAAAAAAATGTACAGTACATTTCACCACATATAGTTTTTCCAAAAATGCTCCAACCGCATAAAAATACATTTTGATCCGCCACAAATCCAGTAACAGTGCCACCGGCTGCAGTAAAATCTCAAGAAGTGAGATCTGCTGGGCTGCAGAATGCCCCCATAACAGTGGGAAGATGTCCTGTTGTCCAGCAGAGAACTGGGAACTGCTGACAACACTGCTTGGGATTTTAGTGGAGCACAGGCAGCGTTGTCAGCTCTACTTGGGAGCTCATGTCTTGCTGGATTTCTGGCAGATTTTTCTAGGGATAAAATGGGGAAATGTTTATGTATTGCAGAGATGTACTGAATGTTTTCTTACAGGTTAAGGAATTGTAGAAGCAAAACAGTAGATTACTATACAATTTTACAACAATGAAAAGGTGCAAATACACATCATAGTAGTTGGAAGAATACTTTAGTTGTCTGCCTACTACTAGAAGAAAAGACAGATAGAAAACAATTTTTGGAATTTTTTTTTTATTTACCTCCATTTTCCATAGATCAGCCTCAACCTCCGAGGGCACAGGCTGATTTACCTTGTCGGGTCTTCCGCCGCGACTGGGCCTTCCGCCACCACCGCGTCCGCCCCTGCCACCTCGTCCACCACCGCGTCCGCGGCCAGGACGGCCAAGATCTCCGAAATTGATCTCAAGTTGGGAGGTGATGTCGTTTGCAGGCTTGCGGAAGTGGTGATCCAAACCTTCAGACTCTGCGTGAACCTGGAAAGAAGGAGAGAATATCAAAGGTATCTTGTCTATACCATCGCTGCTTTTTACATCAGGAGGTCACAAAATGAACACTGCAAAGTAGCAACACCAATATCTGGTCTCAGCAGTCTGTAATGGTGACAGACAGTTTCTGAATGGTGGATATTTCATTTAGCATTGTGTTTATAGTGAAAATTTGACTCTGGACTACAACGCACTAGGCAGTGTGCCCTATACAATATAAAATACTATTCCGCCTTTCACACAGGTCTCCTGCGTTTGCATTATTTAAATGCAGGAGAAATTGATCTGGGAAGTCTAAACATACTTTCCCAATTTGCATTCTCCCCGTGTGAATGTTTCATGGAATTTAGGCACACAGATTTCTATTTTTTCCTAACGGTAGCTAAACAAAATTCACCTAAACAATGTAAATGGTACAATTAAAAAATCATTCTGTGCATTTTATGTTAGTTCATAAATGTCCTAAATGCATATAGAAGCATGCCTGTGTTAATGAAGCCCATTCAAATTACACATCAGAGGAGTTGTCCCACATTAAAAAAAGCTGCCTGCAGTATTCATTGTAGGCAAAGTGATTGGACATACTGGCAGCAGCTCCCAGGGCCTTGGACCTGCCCGAAAGTTGCAATTTTCTGTCAAGCAACACTCTGCCACTTCCTGATGGTGCCCAGAGCTTGCCCACCAGCCTTACTGGCCAATAGAAGTTTGGGGTAGGTAGCGTGGAAACCAAAACTTTGTTTTCATTTTGTATGCAATTTGTAAGGATTACGAGTGATACACAAATAAGATACATTTTTGTTAATAGTAGAGGTACTTGAATGTATTTAAGATTTTAGTGTCACTTTAAAAAAGGTAGAGAAGCCAGAAGCAGAGACCTGCACCTATTACAGCAATGGTAGCAGCCATATTTCTATGCTCACTGTAAAATTTACACCCATGAACTATCTGAATCTAAGCTGGATAAGATCAATATTTTCAGAATACCAATACAGTAAAGAAAATGTATAAAAAGTTACCCACACTACTAACTAAACCCACTAATAAGCCCCTTTTTAACCAACAGTACCCATTACCTAATACTTTACTGCACACAAATAAAACCATTGCCAATACAAACAGCAACAGCGCCAGACTGCATGCAGAACTCCTGACAAACTCAACCTATTATCTTAAGTGTCTGCACATCAAAAATAAACGAGTATGTTTGGCATCATGTCTCCTGTATACAGGTTTCCTAAGCAAATGAGTGAATTGGCTGCAAAGTTTCTTATCTGGAGAACTCGTCAGTAAAAGTACTTCCAGTTACAGGCTGACAACGCAAAGTGCCTCGTGATAAACGGCAGCGATGTCGGCCTGCCATGTGCGATCCTTCATCTGACCACTAAGCTGTATTTTATAGGCACAAGAGCAATTTTCTTCTATAAATGCCACAAAATCAGCAGACCGCTCTGACACACGTCCCCTTAAAGGTTAAGATTAAGAAAAGCATGGAAGAAAGGGCGGAAAACTGCCCACTAAGCCTTAAGAAGCAACATTTGAGAGTGTCATACTTTTCACAATGCCTACCATCTCTTCCCCAGCCGGAGCAGAGCTCATTACCTCCTCACTCTTGGATTTGTGGAGGACGAAACCTTTCTTCCACTGGCCGTCGGCACCTTCGTTTGGTTTACGGATGTTAAATTCAACTTTGGCGCGTGCTTTGTCTTGCATTGCCTTCCATTCATCAAGAGTCATTTCCTTGGGTCCTTCCTCCTTGGGTCCTTCTTCCGCCTCATTTTCCCTGGAACATAAGTCACAGCTAAAGCAGAGACTGGACAGCGATACCATATGCTGACAATCATAAGCAGCACACGTTTATACTGACCTCCAAAAAAACAGCACCTTACCCTGTGCTTAGAAGATGCTATACAACACTCCAAACACAGAGCTGTAACGCTGTTCTATGGGAACATATGAAATCCTGAAAGACGGTAAATTCTCAGCTTTTATGAAAACTTTTTTCCACCGATCCCTCTGGAAATGCCGCCTGCAAATTATACTAGTGGCTGCATTTCTTGTCCAGAAGACCAGTAAATCCAGTCGGCTCTCTGTGAGCAGGGTTGACAGGTTATCATGTCCCCCAGCAGTTCTAATAAGTGCTGCCTGACGCATGCACAGAACACTGAACGCAGAGTGGCTGCAGCTACTCCCATAAACAAGCAGGCAGAGGTATCTTGGGAGATGTAGCTCTGTGGGAAGTCAGCAGGGGCTGGGGTGAGGGACTACAACGATGCATCCTTCAGTACAGAAAAATGCAAGTGAAAAATTCATACTGTGGGATGCTCTACAAGGGAGTCAAGCCTGGTAGGCAAGCTTTAACGTAGAATGTTAACCGACAGTGTCTGTGGGATACTAGAATAGAAATAGTAGTATACAAATAAATGCACATGTAAAGATTTTACTGTTTTTTTAAATCAAGGCCGACTGCTGAACTGGGCTGTAAGAATCAAACACAAAATGAACATGGTGCATGCAACCTAATCCCAAATCACTTCCCACAGCTGTTGTCCATCCTCTAACAGGGGTAGACAAACCTTAGTCTTGCAGTCCCACCAAGCACTGCATGACTGATAGCTACAGGTATGACTCTCACACACAAGGGGATTTTGTAGTTTCACAATTGTAGGGCCGAAGTGCACCTACCCCTCTGCTCTAAAAGACTTTATGCTTACAGCAAACTAAAGTCAGGACAGTGCAGCCATCCCATCCCCATTCTCACTTTGCGGAAATGTAGCGCTGCCTGTAGCAATGACAGCAGGATGTGGACCCATTGACTAAAGGGCCCAACATGCAGTGTAAAGGTATTATTATTATTCAGGATTTATATAGCGCCAACAGTTTGCGCGGCGCTTCACAATACAAGGAAGACATTACAATCACAATACAATTCAAGACAAGATGGTAAGGAGGGCCCTGCCCCTGAGGAAAGGTACTGGGTAAAGAGCCGTTTAACACCTTGGTGTACCAGGAATGCATGTCGTGTTCGTTTCCCCGCTCTTGATGCGCATCGCCCATTATATTCAATGGGAGCCACAAACGTGACATATGCGGGAAAGTAGCTCATGTAGCAGATTCTGCTAAAGGCACATTGCAAACCTGTGCTAAATGCGCTCTCCCAGCCACGTTTGGGCTGACATTTACAAGGAGTGGCACTGCAGGCATGACGCAGGTTTCTAAATGAATACCCTTAAAGGAGCACTATGGGGTCAGTGTAAAGGAGAACTATGGGGTCAGGGTAACAGGAGGACACAAACTGGCGTCGTCCTGTCACCCAAAGCTCAGTATACCGCGAGCTGTAGCTCGTGGTATACCGAGACGCCGCAGCTGGAACGGATCCCGACAATTCTGTCTGGATCCGCCCAGCTGCGTGAGTGACAGCTGGCTCTACCTATCTAGAGGCAGAGCCAGCTGTACCCGCCCCGTCCGTTCCGCCAGTCAGCGCTGGAAGATCGGACAGGGGAATCGCTGCAGGGCGCCGTGAGTGACAGTCACGGCTCTCTGCACGGATAGATCGAGAAGTGAGCGTGCCGGTATGTGTTCGCTCACTTCCCGATCTACTGAGCTGACCTGTGACCGTTTCAATCTCACAGGTCAGCTCAGATTATGAGGCTGAGTGAACATCACTCACCTCATAGTTCTCCTTTAACACGTCAGTGTGAACGCATGTGAATGGGGACCTAAAATTTGAAAGCTCAATGGCACGGGTAAATAGATATCAACGCTGCACAATTTCTAAGACTTACTTGTTCTCAGAGTCTACCACGGGCTGATCTTCTGTTTCAGTTGTTTCCTCAGTGACGGTTGACTGGTCCAGTTCGCTGAAATTTTAAAGTGTTAACATTTTTAGGTTTTTCTTTTTCCACTTCTGGATAGAAAATGAAGCTTTCTACATGTGATAGGCACACTGGAATACTATAAGGAACTGCAGTTTTTTGCTTTGTTTTAAAGATGCCAAATGAATGGCTTTCGTAAAAACACTGAACGCAATGTGAATGGACCCTAAAAGAGAACTTCTCAGTAGAAAAAGCCAAATAACTCTCCAACAGGCACCAGAGCTGCAAAATATAGATGCAAACTCTGTACTATGGCATACGTTGGGAGCAATGCTGGAAAGTTAGCACCCTATGTGTTTTGATAGAATTTCCTTGATTGGTTACTGTGGCCGACCATCTTATTATTGCCTCAGTTTTTACATACTAGGTCTCCATATTTTCCTTCTTACATTTCTAGAATGCCCATAACTCATATACAGAGTAATCATATAGAATGAGGTTATACAGCAATGTATTGTTTTAAATGAAAGTCTTTCTCCTGATACAATGTTGTTATCTTTGAACTGGCTTTAGTCACACATGGACTCTTTGGCTTTACTCGATATTTCAACAAAGAGCTTATCTCATTTTTCACCAAGGTTACGATTACCAGGTTCCCGTATTTAAATCTTTTTAACTATTTGAATGGGGTGCTGCAATTTAGAGAATAAAATGATTGTGGCTTTGTCTTAATACACCTATAGAATTAAAGGAGATGTTTTATTTTCATTATAAATGAGTTCCCTGTCTGAGGTATCTCCGCTACTGAGAGGGCTTTGTTGCTATATTATTATCATTTTAAAAGCCAAGGACGAGGATGCCTTTGACAGACTAGATATTGCCATTTTAAAACAGGCCGTCTCTTTGTGCTGGTTAGGTACACAGGCAAAGTGTTCTCCAAACAGGACCTATTTAAACTGCAAAGGGTGACAAAACATATATGTAGATGTTAAAGTGACACTAAACTCTGGAGTTAAATCTTATAAATACATTCAGGTCATAACAATGTATCTTATTTGTGTATCACTCGGCTGTAGATCCTCCAATCATCTCTGAATTGGTTCTGACACTGTCCTTCCGTCTGGAGGGTGACTACTTTTGTTCCCCATGGTCCCTGTGTGTGTTGTAAAGTAGTCACTGCTCCAAGCTCACTCCCGGGATGGACTACAATCTCAATACAAATTGGTAAACTAAAGAGGAGATTGTAGTCCATCCCAGGAATGAGCTTGGAGCAGTGACTACTTTACCACACACACAGGGACTATGGGGAACAAAAGTAGTCTCCCTCCAGAAGGAAGGACAGTGTCAGCACCAATCCAGAGATGATTGGAGGATCTACAGCAGAGTAATACATAAGATACATTTTTGGGAATAGTTAAGGGACTCGAATGTATTTTTAGGATTTAACTCCTGAGTTCAGTGGCACTTTAAACCGCAGTCCCAAACAAATCAGCACAGCAGAAGTTATACGGGTTTGCCGTCTACATCTATGTCTTACTAACGAGGCAAATATACAAAAACTGCCAAACCTAACTACAGGACATCAAAGAAGGGTATTCAACAAAGTGCAACTTCCTATCACAGTTTTCAGGTTACACCCTGACAAAACCACACTACAGAAGTAGCCACTAAGCTGCTTGACATGAAATTATCTCTGAATGACATGCTGGGTGTGTGCGGCACATTACTCCACAATTCATGAATTGGGCTCGTAGTCCTTGTAACGCTGTTAAAGAAGAACCCCGAGCAAACAAAAATCTTAACCCTTGCACCGCAAGGGTTAAAATGCTTGTTTTGCCTAGGGAGCTAAAGAAAGATATACTCACCCGAACAGCAATCCCGGCTGGCTCCGTGAACGATCAGATGTTCAGTCTGTCGTCTCCTCCTCTCCAGCAATGGTATGTCCATCTGCGTTCTCGGGTCCTATACACTGATGACCTTAGACCGCTGGAGCAGAGGGGAAGAGAGGCTCCAGGGAACAGTCTGTCAGCCAGGATTGTGGTTCGGGTGAGTATAACTGTTTTAGCTTCCTAGACAAAACGAGCACTTAACCCTTGCAGTGACGTTAATGTATTGACCCACTGCAAGGGTTAATATTTGATTAGCCTGGAGTTGTTGTTTAAACCAATATAAAAGGTGTTTCTGTGCTACGCTGACAGTAAAACAGTACACTAAACACAGCTGAGGTTTTTTTCTTTTCCTGGATGCTTGTCCAGCAGAATGACACCAACATTTTCATACCAGATAACGTGTCCACAGCTGCCAACAGGTTCCCTTAGATGGGCTAATGGGGGGAAAGCTTATCGCACACATGCTGCACACCCAGCGCTTATCAGTCCGACACCGCAGACTTCAGGGTGCCACCAACACACACACAATGCTAAAGGGGAATCATTTCTCACAGGTAGCTCATCTCTGGCCTCCTGTTATTAGGGAAAGATTGCAATGACACGGCAACTTTCAAACAGTGCGAGACCAGTCAGCCGTGAATGATATGGACACTTACAGAAGGCGGTCTGCTGCTGCTCTTTTGCTTAGGTTCATTTCACTCAATCCACAGTACTGCACCGTGCTATCAGCAACCATATTAGTGAGGGTCCAGGCTATCAACACGCAGCTCTTCATAGCAACCCCCCCCCCCAATCTACTGATATCAGTGTATTCCAGTGATCAGAGGGGGCAAGTCTTGTGATACTGGTAGAAGAGAGGGCGGCTAGGCAGTCAGACATTACAAGTGTGCTGCCAAACTGCAGATTATAGGGATAAGTCCACTATAGTTGACAACTAGGAATGCACAGATACCGATACTAGTATTGGTGCAGATACCAAGTATTTGGGCAAGTACTCCTACTCACACAAAATGTTCCAATACTGGAACTTCCAGTCAGAGGAAGATTTCCTCTGACCAGCAGTGCCGTAGGAGAACATGCTGCTGGCTTCCCGGCCAATCGGGAAGCCGAGAGGCAGGTCATTACTCGCCGCCTGGCTTCCTGATTGGCCAGGAAACTGGCTCGATGCCGATTGGCTGGGAAGCCAGTTTCCCAGCCAATCACAATCGAGCAGGCCAAACATGGACCCGGCTTTGCGGGCAATCAGGAAACCAGGGAGCATGTCATTACCCAATGCCCGGCTTCCTGATTGCCCGGGAAGCCAGCTCCATGCCAGCAGAAGCACCGGTACGTGGTATCGGCGTGCACCGAAATCAAAATATCGGTGATGGCACTTGATACCGTAAAACCGGTATCGGTGCATCCCTAGTGATAACATAACTTTTCAAAGTAGGGCTGCAACAACTAATCGACATAATCGATTAAAGCAAAAAAAAAAAATCTTTATGCAATCAAGACCGACCCTTTAAATACCTTTGCAAACCTAAAGTATATTTGCAAACTTAAAATGTCCACATGGTAGAAAAGCAGAATGAACAACGGGCAACTGCAAGCTGCTCCAACCAACCTCATTTCATCCTTAACATTGCCCCAGTTGTGAGATCCGCTGCCTCCCCTCTTGTCCTCGTGCTTCGGGCCACTGAAAGAAGAACTAATGAAAATGAGTTACCTTGTCAGTGTTTGAGAAGGAGCATTGGGGAAAAACAACAAGTAAAGCAGACAGAGCAAATTCCACTTACGCTCGGTCGCTTCCGCTATGTCTGTCAAATTCACGTTTGCCACGAGAGTCAAAGCCGTCACCTCTGCCTATGCCGCGTCCACGACCACCACGTGCCCTTCCACCGGGGCCACCACGACCACGAATTGGCCTTTCACCAATAGGCCTACAGGAAAAAGATGGAGAAAAAAAAAAAAAAAAATTAGTATACAAGACAGCAAGCATTATGCTGAAGTTTAATCTGCTCAAATTTAGCCTTTCCCCAATATTAACTAGATTATATTTTTGTTTTAAAAAGCCTGATTTCACTACATACTTTAATGTTACACCCATCACTGGATTTCTGTGCTTCTCTATGCAATGCTAGTGGAAGGGGCCGGCAGGGTGCTGTATTGAACACTTCACAGCATCCAGTCTCAGTACGCCTCTCAAGAGCCTTCAGCCCTGATGCAAGCAGTGGGCTGTCTCTTGGGAGGAGCTATGCAAATACAAAAATGGTCTTGATGGTTGGCTGTCAGTCTGGAGGAGTCTCTTTCTAGGCAGGCTGCCTTTGCATGCAGACCATACCTGGCCATTACTTTCTCTCTGACCTCTTGCCATGCATGCCATCTGAGAACGACATATCCCAGGTTACAGAGGCCAGAAAGCACCGATTATGTCACATTAATCTGTGCTTCTTGAACACCCCCCTCTTCAGCATCGCTGTCCTAAAGGTGGGGTGTTAGAGTTGACATCATGCCTGAGACCTAAAGACGCAATATTGTAGTTCTATTGGTCAGAATTCTACAATGTATGACATGGATATGCATATTCACAGGGCACGGCGATTTTCTACCACCGCGTTCAAGAAAGTTGTCTCTGCAGGATTGTCCTGAAGGTACGTTTAGCTACCTGCAGAGCATTAACAAGTGGGCCAGAACTGATGATAGTCCAATGACTGATTGCATGATCGATTTTTATTTTGTTGACCATAGAACGGGGTAGGCAACCTCGGCCCTCCAGCTGCTGCAGAACTACAAGTCCCATGAGGCATTGCAAATACTCTGACCGCCACAAAAATTAATCCCAGATGCAGTCATGATAGGATTTGCAGTTGGTCACCACAGCTGGAGCGCTGAACTTGCCTATCCCCGCCCCGCCATACATACTCTGATACGAAATTCCAATCGTAAAACTACATTTTCCAGACATCGTCATCTGATTAATGGCTTTCGACATATGTTATGAAAACAAACCCCATTTTGCTAAAGCAGAGTTCCAATGTTCAAACTGTTTTCAAAGCGCAATGTTTACCTGTCCACAGAAAATTCCCCTCCTTCGCCCTTCTCTTCGGCTGGCTTCTCAAAGCGACGCTCGCGAGGAGGCCGCCTGTCTGTTTGCCTTCTGTCGATGGGCTTCCCATCGCCCTGTGGGGCCTGTGAAGGTGGCTGCTGTGGTGGTGGCGGTTGTTGCTGAGGATTTTGCTGCTGCTGGTCGGGTCTCCTACCAACCCTCCGGATTCCTGCCATACACAAACAGCACGTCAATGGTGGACCAGACTCACACAGAGCACATGATACAAGAGGAACCTTGTGCTTCTCAACAAGCTGAGGGCGACGAGGAGATGGGGATGAATCATCAAGCAAAGTGTGACATGCCGATATACAGAAATAGAAGATCGCTGCCCACAAATAATGTCACAAAATGTTGTAGGGATGTTGGCTGTTAAATACTGAAAAGTGTCAAAATGCAAGCAAATGGGTACACAGATCAGATGACCTTAGGAAGAGAAAAGTTGATACATGCCAACAATACAATACTACCCATTAACCTCGACTATCCCAAGCCTCATACAAAAGGAAAAACTGTGCTAAGGAAGGATATCACTACTACTCTCACTTTCTCTAAACTACTTTCCTGGCTGCCATGCCATTCCAATGGCTTCAATTAGGGATGCACCGCTACAGGATCGGTGCCGGTACAGAGTATTTGGGTGAGTACTCTTTCTCGCCCAAATGCTCAGATACCGGAACTTCCGGTCGGAAGGAGATCTCCCTCTGATGTGCCACCCGGCTTCCTGATTGGCTAGGAAACCGGTTTCACTTGTTGTCCGGCAGCAAGGCTTCCTAACCAATTAGCAAGCCGGGCAGCATGTCATGACTCGCCTCCCAGCTTCCACATTTGCTAGGCAGCGTAGCTTCCTGACCACAAGTGAAGCCAGCTTCCTGATTGGCTAGGAAGTCAGCGTCACTTGTTGCTAGGCAGCCTGGTTTCCTGACCAATCAGGAAGCTGGACGGCACCTTATGACCCGCCGCCCGGCTTCCTGATTGGTCAGGAAGCCAGGCAGCTTCGGCAAGTGAAGCCGGTGTTCTTTCGATTGAACACTGGCAGCCCAATCAGGAAGCCGGGCAACTTGTCATGATTCGCCGGCCGGCTTCCTGATAATCGGGGCACAGATATCGGCTAGTACCGGGAATATCGGTACTTGATAACAAAAAAATTGTATCGGTGCATCCCTAGCTTCAATATTGTCTCAGAACTAGTCTGCCCATTAGGAGTTCTTCACTCTAATCTCATCTGTATACATAGTCCAAGTCAGTGTGTCACAGAACGGAATCCAGAGCCAGGCAACTAGCATTTGCAGGAGATCAGAAATCTCAGATTCTCTTAGGAGTCTCAGTAAAATTCTCCTTTAAAAGGAAATCTGTCACTAAACAATGTCTGTGTGAAACATCTCAATGATAGCTGCTGTCTGCAGACTCCTGGGAAAAATCAAAGTGAAGCCAACGAGGCTCAGATCTTGCAGCTTTGTAGTCTGGTATGGCGGCTTAGAGGCTCAAGCCTCCAAAACAGGTTTTACTGCTTTCTGGGGCTCAAATAGAGACTTCACTTCCTGTCTTGCTGGGTGGAACTCAAACTGTAAAAGAAAAATATGTTTGTTTTTTTAACTATTGTAGGGAATGAGAGAACCCGTCCAATGTTTAAGCTGGCCATACACTACGCAGATTTCGCACAGTGGGTTCTCAGCACCCTTGCGGCTGGCATCTCTCGATCAACAGATAAAAGGAGCTGGTTGGAAAATGTGTGGCCAACGGAGCCTGTTTACGGGAATACATGTGCGCTTGCAAAGGACTTCAATTTATTATTTTTACATCTTATTTAATATTTTTTTTAACTTCACTTTAATGCAATCACATAGGGGGGCTTACAAGCTCCCTATGTGATAGCATATTGGTGGTGACAGGTCCTCTTTAAGGTGACAGTAAGGGGTCTAAAAGACACTAGTGTCATCATTCCACTTTAAATAAGCTATTGAACTGCAGATTCCACTTCAATAGCTTATTGCTTGGCTTCAGGAGCCCAAAAATGACAGCTCACGGACCGGAAGTGATGGAATACGTGTCGCTCCCAGTTCCATAGAGCGGGGAGATCGGTGAATGGAAGTTTGCCACTATCCTCCCCAGCTTTCCGCCGTCACCTTGCATGCCGGACCCACAGCGGAGCCCGGGAAACCCAGCAGGGGTGTCAGGCAGGGGTAGAAGCAATCTGGCGAGCCAGCTTCACAATTATGCCACCGGGAGTCTGTTTAAAAGGGCCAGCTGCCAATGACATACTATGTACTTTAATGGATGCAGAGGGGTTAAAGATTTAAGCAGATTTCCAACAACCCCGCACACAACACAGAGTGTGTGCAACTCTTAAATCTGTCTTTCCCACTTCTTTGTATGCAATAGGCACCGGCAATGCAGATAGGGGCCTCACAGCTGCCCCTCTGGGAAGTCTACCTCACCAGTGCCTTCCGGGGAGCTGTCATTCATTTTTTTTCCTGCACTGATGACGCAAACACCATTATCATGTGTCAGCCCGGGGAACTATGAAGAAGCCGGCCACCTTTGACATTGATTTTTGTAAATTGCCACCAGTGTTTCCGGTACAGGGTGGACGGAGCAATGTCAATGTACTCCATGGATGCTGGTATTTGTTAGAAGAGAGGAATCCACTTTAACCCCTACGTGACGGGAGACGTACACTGTACGTCCCGCCACAAAGGGAGCAAATGACTCGTCACGCACACTGTACGTGACGAGTTATTTGCTGCATTAGAGGGCTGGTATCCGCTGAGAATCAGCGGTTACCATTCATTAATGGATGCCTCAGTATAGAGGCATCCATTAATGAAAGGGTTAACCTTTTTCAGACACCTGATACCTTAATATCAGGTGTCTGAGAGTCAAGCATTCTGACAGCTCGTATAGATCTAGGGATATCCCTCTCGATCGTATACTGGCTTTTTTTTTTCTTTCACTTTAAGCAATAGATACACAATGTATCTATTCCTGAAAGAAGAATGTTTCAGTTTTCTGATCGTTGTTGGAACGATCAGAAAACCTTTAGTGACAGCTGAATCCTGAACTGCTGCAGGATCAGTGTCACTAACTTATTATTGGCTGTTCTGAAGTTTGAAGCAGCCTAACCAAAAATGTATTAATTTATCAAGCAGTAATAGTGAGCTTAATTCACAATGACTGTATGATATAATTAAAATGTTTTTTAAAATAGTGAAAAGTGTAAAGGAAAAAAAAAGTGTAAAAAAAATAAAGGACAAATAAATGAATAGCTGTGCAGGTTTTGTAAAAAAAAAAAAAAAAAACTACAAATCAAAACTGGGAAAAAGGTGTTTAAAAAAGTTTTTTCCTCTTTTTTTATATCTTATTTGTCCTAAGTGAGGCGTTAGGGCTACATATTTATATCACATATGTGTGTCTATCTGTCCTCTAAAAAAACAATATATAATATGTGTAGGTGCACTTTGTAAGAAAGTATATTACTGGAAGAATCACACAGCAAAAATGTCAAAAGTGTGTCAGTCATTTACGAACAGAAACTAAAAACAAGCTCAGTCATGAAGGGGTTAAAGGGCCCATTCACACTATGGCATTGTGTTAAACACATGACACCTTGGTTTAACACACACTATTGTGGGGTACCGTGCGTTAGGTGCATTGACATTCATTTGAATCCTTGTATTGGTGGCTCTCATGTGCCCCATCGCAACTCCTGACCGGAATTTGTTTAAATTTGCAGTCGGTGCCACAGTGAAAATCGTATGGCGCCACACTTCAAGCATTAAGGAAAAGTCACTGGCACTCCAACTGAGATATAACTTCCATCTTTTATTGACTGCAAGTTTATAGTAGGGATGCACCAATACCGGTACTGTGCAAGTACTCGCCCAAATGCTTCGATGTCTGGTCCAAAACTTGATGTATCAGGAAGCCGGGTGCCGTGTAATGACGCAGTTCCGGGCTTTCTGACTGGCCGGGAAGCCGGCTTCATGCTCCCTCGTCACCTCATGAAGAGGGAGCATGGAGGCGACTTCTCGGCCAATCAGGAAGCGGGCGCCACGTCATTACACAGCACCCGGCTTTCTGATTGGCCACAAAGCCGGCTCCATGCTTACTCGTCATAGTGACGAGAGGCATGGGGGCGGCTTTCCTACTAATCGGGAAGCCAGGTGGAGAGTCATTTCACGCTGCCTGGCTTCCTTAATGTGACTTCCGGTACTCGGTATCGGCAAGTACCAAAAAAAAAATAATCAGTACTCGATACCGAAATACCGGTATCGGTGCATCCCTAGTCTATAGTATTACAAAGCAAACTACGTTAATTTGCATGGCACCCCAATGCCCAGCTGCTGGGAGTTGTGTTGCGGTGAAAAAGCCTTTTAAAAAAAATTATTACCGTACCGCAATGCAACACATGGCGGCTGGAAGGTGCCATTCAAATCAATGGCAACGCGCCTAATACACGGTACCATATGCTCGGTACACTATGCAATATTGTTTAACACAACACCATGGTGTGATCAGGCACCAAAACTATTGTCCATTGCTAGCTTCCATCTGCTGTTTTACACTGCATAGCTGAACCTGAAAGACAGAGCCTAAATGGTTGCTTAGGGTGTCATTTCCATCCAATGTCTTTACATGAGGGATGGCGTTACACAGCACGAGTATAGTTTACACTGCTATGACCGTTCCATCTGATTGCAGTTTCACTTCATTATGAATAGTACTTGGGACCGCCTGGTGGCTTCCCCAGGTACATGCTCAGGAATGAGATTGCTTTGTGCCTACAACATAAAAGGGACCCATTAGTTATTACTGACTCGTGTGGTCACACACAGTAAGGTCACCAACATCTTGCAAGGGTTGCAGGGTGAAAACCTCACAAGACTTGGCTTGATTGACAGCACACCCTGGGCTCCCTCACCAGCCCAAGAATAGCCACTCGGTACCACTACTGCTGAACTGGCTTTGACAAACAGCTGTCGGGACCCATAAAGTGGGGCAAACGTGGATTAGCTGCAGCGTGCCAATTATAGCTCAAATAACCAATTCCATCCACAGCCCTAAAACGTTAATGTGGAGAAGAAATTAAACTTTATGGAGGTATCGTCCGTCTCAGCTCACAATTACTGCCTTAAACTTTTATATATGGGTGCGGCCCCAAAAAAAAAG